CCACAGAAATAAAAATAACCACCAGAAACCACTATGCACATAAACTAGAAAACCTAGAAGTGATGGATAAATTCCTGGACACATACACCCTCCCAACACTGAACCAGGAAGAAATTGATTCCCTGAATAGACCAATAATGATCTCGAAAATTAAATCAGTAATAAATAGCCTACCAACCAAAATAAAGCTCAGAACCAGATGGATTCACAGCTGAAAAACAGCTTCAGCAAAGTTTCAAGATACAAAATCAATGTACATAAATCTCATATCACACTACCACCCCAGGGATGGCAGTAGACACCAACCCAGAAATTTAGACAGGGACCACTTACTTTTGGAAAATAGGGGTTAGGCATGAAGATGGTTATGATTAAGAAGATAGTTTTGTTGTTAAATAGCATTAAACTGGAATAAATAGTGTTGACCATCTCTGTTTAACCTGTTCTTTCACTCTGATGCCCCTTATCTCACCCCTACCTTGGAATTTAATAAGCTTCAGGCATTTCCAATTATAGACAAAAACCACTCCTAGCACCTCCTGTAGTATTTTCCATGTATCAGGACAGAGATGTCTTACGTAGGGAAGGGGCAGGTATGAAGTAAGATAGATTATGTACACCTCTCACTCATTCAGGATTCTTACTCCCATGCTGCTGCCCGTTCAGTCGCACAGGAATGCTATGTGATGGCCAGCTGCTTGCCTCCTTGGTTATCATCTGCTGCAGCTGCTAGTTAGGTTTGGAGGGATGACTTTTAGTAAATCTGGGGATTTTACTGATTTGTTTTCACTTTTATTTCTATACACCACTAGTATTTCTATACACCAACAACAAGCAAGCCAAGAGTTAAATTAGAAAGACAGTCCCATTCACAATGGTCACAGAAAGAATTAAATACCTAGGAATACAGCTAACTAGGGAGGTAAAAGACATCTACCATGAGAATTACAAAGCACTGCTCAAAAATACGAGAGAAGACACAAACAAATGGAAAAATATTCCATGCTCATGGATAGGAAAAAATCATTATTATTAAAATTGCCATACTGCCCAAAGCATTTACAGATTCAATGCCATTCCTACTGAACATCCAACATTGTTTTACAAAACTAGAAAAATCTGTTTTAAAATTTATATGGAACCAAAAAGGGCCCAAATAGCCAAGGCAATCCTAAGCAAAAATAACAAAGCTGGAGACATTATATTACCCAACTTCAAACTATACTACAGGGCTACAGTAACCAAAACAGCATGGTACTGGTACAAAACCAGGCACATAGACCAGTGGAACAGAATAGGGAGCCCAGAAATAAGGCCACACACCTACAATGATCTGATCTTCAACAAAGCTGGCAAAAAGAAGCATTGGGGAAAAGACTCCTTGTTCAATAAATGATGCTGAGATGACTAAGTAGCCATATGCAAAAGATTGAATCTGGACCCCTTCTTTATACCATTTACAAAAATCAACTCCAGATGGATTAAAGACTGAAATGTAAAATGCAAAACTATAAAAACTCTGAAAGATAACCTCAGCAATACCATCCTGGGCATAGGAACAGGCAAAGACTTCATGAAAAAGACACCAAAAGCAATAGCAAGAAAAGCAAAAATTGAGTGACAATGGGATCTAATTAATCTTAAGAGCTTTTGTGTAGCAAAAGAAACTATCAACAGAGTAAACAGTCAACCTACAGAATGGGAGAAAATTTTCAAACTGTGCATCTGACAAAGATCGAATATCCAGCATCTATAAGAAACTTAAACAATTTTACAAGAGAAAAACAACCCCTTAGAAAGTGGGCAAAGGACCCCTTATAAAGTGGGCAAAGGACATGAACAGACACTTTTTAAAAGAGGACATACATGTGACCAAGAAGCACATTAACAAAAGCTCAATATCACTGATCATTAGAGAAATGCAAATTAAAACCACAATAAAGATACCTTCTCACACCAGTCAGAATGGCTACTATGAAAAAGTCAAACAATAACAGATGCTGGTGAGGTTGTAGAGAAAGGAGAACATTTATACGCTGTTGATGGGAGTACAAATTAGTTCAACCATTGTAGAAAGCAGTATGGCGATTCCTCACAGAGCTAAAAGCAGAACTACCATTTGACCCAGCAATTCCATTACTGGGTATATACCCTGAGGAATATAAATCATTCTACCATAAAGACACATGTATGCAAATGTTAACCTTAGCTTCGTTTCTCATTCTTTCGTTCTCTTTTCAGAGTCATTTTCCTACCATTCATTTGTGCATGCAGTGCCTGAATTTCAAATAACAAACTCCTTCTATGTGCTCTCTGGAGGCATTCCATAGCTGCTTGATATTCAACAACACTATTCACAATAGCAAAGACATAAAATCAACTTAAATGCCCATCAACAACATATTGGATAAAGAAAATGTGATACATTTATAGAATGGAATACTATGCAGCCATAGAAAGGAAGAGATCACGTATTTCATGGGAACATAAACGGAGCCTGGAGGCTATTATCCTTAGCAAACTAACACAGAAACAGAAAACCAGATACCGCATATTCTTACTTATAGGTGGGAGCTAATTTATGAGAACTTACAAATGCCAAGAAGAAAACTACGGATACTGGGGTCTACTTGAGGGTGGAGGATGAGAGGAGGGGAGAAGAAAAGATAACTATTGGGTACTGGGCTTAATACTCAGGTGATGAAATAATCTGTACAACAAACCCCTGTGACATGAGTTTACCTATGTAAGAAACCTTCACATGTACCCCCGAACCTAAAATAACACTTTTAAAAAAATAATCAATATTGTTCCATCCTCCATTTAACAGATATGAAAGTTGTGATTAAATGTGATTAATGTCACAGAAATAGTAGGAAAGCCGAGCTTCTTAACAGTCATTCCAGGGCCATTGCCAGGGTGTCAAATCCTATGTCACTGCACAGTATTACTATAACAACAAGGTATCCCTTTCCTGACTTCCTGTTCCCCACTCTTGATTCAGCATCTTTGGGATCCACTTCCAGGCATTTTCTCTGGGCTCCTGCAGCCAGACCCTGCAGCTCCTTTGTCATATGATCCTCCTCCTCCTTATCAGACACTGTACTTACCCAGTTGGATCAAACTGAAACTTAGTCCTCATACTGGCTGGCATCCAGGAGAGAAATGGGAGTAGATTCTGAGCAGGACCAACATTGTTTTGTAAGACACTTGAAGACTTGTGTAAGACACTTGTAAGACTTACTTGAAGCTTCTAGATAGTTTCCAAGCAAGCAAGGAGAAGGTCTTGTATCTTCCAGCAAGGGGTTGGGGGGGCACCTCTGTAGGCCCAGATATTCTGGAGAAGCTGGGAGACCAAGGTCCTTAATGGTGTCTGATAAGTATCCCCATTCCAATTCTCATGTTCCCACTTTTTTCCTATCAGGACTCTGACTCTCCTGAAGGAGACTTACCTAGGCTGAGAATTCGCCTTCCCTGACCTTCTGCCGCTCCTAATTATAGGCTGCATCTGGGCTTCAGTCAGTTCAGTCGGCCCTCTGGCTGCTAGTGATGAGGGGCTTTTTAAAGGCTTCCATGGAGGCCCTTTGACTCTCACACTTGGGTTTAAATTGGTGCTTAATAGATTTATTACTGGCATCTAGACTTAGTGCATCAATGGTACTTAGCAATAGCCTCCCAATTCAACAATCTTTCAAGTTACTCTTCCTCCTGCACTCTCAAATGCTAGATATATCACACAAGTTAATGCATTCACTTCTGCTTATATGCTGTCTTGGTTCACTACAAGTAAAAGTGTTAGAAATTGCACTGCAGGAGCACGTCCAAGACTATCTTCAGGGAAGAGATTCTGATAGAACCACTGATGAGTATGCAAACTCCAGAATCCTATCCTTAGACTCAGGTACATAGGCTACTACTGCTATCAACTGCCTTAGGTTGGGCTCTTGCAGCTGACTGAGACTTAGATTCCTGTTCGAGTGATTGCCTGAGGGAGTGCTCTCAGAAGAAATCTGAACAATGGGGAGGAAAGCAGAATAGGACAGGAAAAGAAGCTGGGTAAGATACAGGTTTAGATGAAGTCTAGCCTCAGCCTGATCCCACAGGGAGTTCTGGAGCCTGAGTGGCGCCACAGTTCTGTACCTCCATATTAATCAGTCGTTGGCTATGAGCTATCCATGAGGGAAGGCTGTAACCTTCCAGGCATTCTCTGGAATTGTTGGCTTGAAGGCAGTCCTCAGGCAGAGTGTGAACTCTTGGCACCCAACACTCTCAGCAGCTAAGGGTTGAGTGCACCAGCCCAGGGATGAGATTCTGGGCAGGGCACCAAAAGCGTCTTCAGTAAAGATGTACTTCAGTGGTAAGAACACTGAAGGAGTCACATGCAAGAAGAAATGGTGGACCAAGAAATGTATAAACATCTGGATATATCTAAATAAACACTCTTATACACAACAATAATGGGGAACAATGGCTAATTTGGAGATGAAGGGTATTTAAAAGGGGAAATTTAAACAATAAACATTAATAGAGAATATGAGGTAATTAGTATTGAAAGTTTCTAATGCCCTTGTGTTTTTGGGATGAAGGGCAAATCTATTAATTAAATTTAGACTCTATTATTTCAAGTTATGATTGTTAAAAATTTAATGGAGCTCCTAGATGTAGGGAGTAAATCAAACACATGCATCAAATTTGGTCCCCCCAAATCCAGTTAATATAACAGTGAATTTTTTTAAGTCCTGGGCCGTGGGAAAAGAAACAACAATAACACAATTCTGGAAACTTGAAAGGTGATGGATGAGTAAGAAAAGACTTATCAGAATCCCCAAGTTAAATTACTAAACTGGCAGCAGGAAAGCCAAGAAGCAACTTGTTTTACACTAAAGAGCCTCCAAGTCTCAGGAATTGGCAGCATCAGATTCTTCTGGTGGTGAAAAGGAGATACTAAAATAAGAATGATGTGTTGCAAGTTTGTTTAAGAAGCAGTCAGGCCCCCGCCCCGCCCCAGGGTCTGCCTCCCCCGCGGCTCGGGCGGCCCCTCCTCCCGGCCGGGCTGGCCGCGGGGCGCTGAGCGGGCCGGGACCCCGCGGCCGAGGCTGTCGTTGGGCATCTCCCCGGCGGCCGGGCCCGCAGCAAGATGGCGGACGAGAAGGACAGGGAAGAGATAGCAGTAGCAGAATTTCACAAAAAAATCAAAGAGGCATTTGAAGTGTTTGACCATGAGTCGAATAATACAGTGGATGTGAGAGAGATTGGAACGATTATCAGGTCTTTGGGATGCTGCCCTAGCGAAGGAGAGCTGCATGATCTGATTGCAGAGATAGAGGAAGAAGAACCCACTGGATACATTCGATTTGAAAAATTTCTTCCAGTGATGACAGAAATACTACTAGAAAGAAGATACAGACCAATTCCAGAAGATGTCCTCCTTCGAGCTTTTGAGGTTTTAGATACAGCTAAACATGGGTTTCTTACTAAGGACGAACTGATCAAGTATATGACTGAAGAAGGTGAGCCTTTTTCTCAAGAGGAAATGGAAGAAATGTTGTCTGCTGCAATTGATCCAGAATCAAATTCAATTAACTACAAGGACTATATATCAATGATGGTGATAGATGAAAACTAAATGTTCTAAAGATAATTTCTAAGTAAAAGGACAATTGTAGAATTTGCTCGTCCTTGTTAATTTCACATCTTCTCTCATGATTCCTATATGTGATATTTAATATCTTGTGACATAACTATTTTAAGATACTTTGTTTTTAAAGATGATCATAACACTTTAAAACAAATTTAGTATGTCTAGCCTTACAGAATGATATGTTACTATTTATTTAAAAACAATTCTGTCCAGGCACCGTGGCTTTCACCTGTAATTCCAGCACTATGGGAGGCTGAGGCGGGCAGATTACAAGGTCAGGAATTCGAGACCAGCCCGGCCCACATGGTAAAGCCCGTCTCTACTAAAAAAATACAAAAATTAGCCAGGCGTGGTGGCAAGTGCCTGTAGTCCCAGCTACTCAGGAGGCTGAGGCAGAAGAATCACTCTAACCCAGGAGGCAGAGGTTGCAGTGAGCCGAGATCATGCCACTGCACTCCAGCCTGGGCAACAGAGCGAGACTCAAAAAAAAAAATATTAAAACATTTTAACATTAGAAAAAAAAAAAAAAAAAAGAAGCAGTCAGATAGCAAGTTCCTTTCCAGTCATGAAAAACTACACTGCCCCCTCTATTTCCCTTCTCTTTCCCAGGAAGCATAGTCACAGGAGAAAAAGAACAGGTTTCCTGCTTGGGGATCCCAAGGAGAGTTGAAGTTAAGAGCACTGTACTAAACAAAGCAAGCTAAATAAAATGCATGCATACTGAATTCCCAGCTCTCTCTACCCGACTATCTCACTTGATCCATATCCAAAATAGTAGTAGCAGACTTTGACTCTTCTGACAGGAGACTAGAAGAATCTTACCTAATCAGCCCAGAAGGAAAACCTAAATGCAATGACAACAGGCTTCCCTAACTAAGCTACTTATCATCTTCACCAAAACAAGAAATTAAACCAGGAAAGTGGAAGATCAGGGCAACACACCCAGGAGATACACCCAGGTTAGGAGATACACCCAGGAGAGTAAGACAGTAAGTCTGAAATGATGGTGAGGGAAAGTCCCAAGATGACAGCTTTATGTCTTATGCATCAGGCATAAAGACCAATAGGCCATCAGAAGAATGAAAGATATTTTGTCTGGAAGATAAAAGCTATGCATCTTAGTATCTTTAGAGAAGATTTAAAGAACTGGCAAATAGTTTGGGATTAAATTAGTAATAAGTACATAGAAAACTAAGAAAATGGTAAAACAAGATGATTAGTTCCAGGGCAAGCAAAAAGCTGCTCAGGAAAGAAAAATTAATCATAGTTTCCTACCTGGCTCAGCTGTGAACAGTTTGTGCATAGTCATATTAATGTAAATATATTGCTTGATATCAAATGCAAACATAATATGACTGTATTATGAGGGCATGAAGAGGAAAGAAGGCACATGTCTGGTGGAAGCAGTCGCTTTCTAGAGTGGGAAGTCAATAGATAATACCAAAAACTGGAAAATTGAGAAATATAAGAAATTGAGAAATAAATGTTTTTAAAGGCATAAGTAGATACCAACATGACCGGTAAAGAAATGTAAATCATTGTTTCCAGGGAAGGAAAGACGGATATAAGGATCATGAGGAAGTATTTGACATTTTCAACTATGAGCTTTTAAAAGTTTTGGTGAAATAAAATCTAAATATAAAAATAATGACGGAATGAGAATATAATAAAACATTCAACTAAAAATATTTTAATGGCAACTACTGAAAGATTGCAAAGGAAATATGTAACTTCCAAACCAGTATTAGGAGAAAAAAGACAAAGAGAAAAAAAAAAAACATTTCTGTAATTTCTTAGAAAACAGGAAAAGAGAATGGAAGAAGCAAAGCAGATGCTTGGTATTAAAGAAAAGAAAAAGTAAAAGAGGCTGAGCACAGTGGCTCATGCCTATAATTCCAACACTTCGGGAGGCTGAGGTGGGCAGATCACTTGAGCTCAGGAGTTCAAGACCAGCCTGGCCCAGATGGTGAAACCCCATCTCTACAACAAATACAAAAATTAGCCAGGCATGGTGGCTAACCTCTGTAGTCCCAGCTACTTGGGAGGCTGGGGTGGGAGAATTTCTTGAGCCTAGTAAGTAAAGGCTGCACTGAGATTGTGCCACTGCACTTCAGCTTGGGCAACAGAGCAAGACCCTGTCTCAAAAAAGAAAGAGGGAAGAAGGAAGGAAGGAAGGAGGGAAGGAGGGAGGGAGGGAAGGAAGAAAGGAAGGAAGGAAGGATTGAGAGAGTGAAAGTGAGAGAGAGATCCAACTAAGATAACCAGGCAAGCTTTGGAAGAGAAATGTAAGAAGAAGAAAGGGGTTTTAAAGAATGTGTGTATATATATGACAGTCTTCAGTCAAGTACTCAAGCACTGAAGGATCAGGAGGACATTGAGAAAAAGGAAAGGTGGCAAAAAAAAAAAAAAAAAAAAAAAAAAAAAAAAAAAAAAAAAATCATCTTTGGGCCCTGGGTGCTGACCAGTAGGTGGTGCTGTCTGCATGGATAGCAAGATTGTCATCCAGAGCAACAGTGAAAAGGAAAACTAAGGCTTAATGAGCCATTCACACATCAGAACCTTTGCCAGCTAAGTGTTCATACGTTTAGAATTACATATATTTCAGTATTCAATATATGACTCAATATTTCAGTATTTGAATATTCAATCTATACAACTGATATAGTTTGGCTCTGCATCCCCATTCAAATCTCATCTCAAATTATAATCCCCATATGCTGGAGGAAAGGCCTGGTGGGAGATGATTGGATCATGGGGCAGATTTCTCCCTAGCTGTTCTCATGATAGTGAGTGAGTGCTTACAAGATCTGATAGTTTCAAAGTGTGGCAATTCCCCCCTAGCTCTTTCACTCTCTCCTGTCACCATGTAAGACGTGTCTTGCTTCTCCTTCACCTTCCACCATGATTATAAGTTTCCCCAGCCTTGCAGAACTGTGAGTCAATTAGACCTCTTTTCCTTTATAAATTACCTATTCTCAAGTACTTCTTTATAGCAGTTTGAAAATACAATAACCAACACTTATACAATACAATAACCAACCTTAACTAGTATAAATGATATGCCCCTATTAAGCAAAAGGATTTCTTGAGTGAAATAAACCCAATAACCAGTGTAACACTTATACAATACAATAACCAACCTTAACTAGTATAAATGATATGCCCCTATTAAGCAAAAGGATTTCTTGAGTGAAATAAACCCAATAACCAGTGCTACTATTCAAAAAGATCTGTAAAAATACTAGGTTTCTATAAAATTTTCCAGATACCACTTGATAGTCATTCAACTGAACATTGAATATGCTTTGTCTCAATTTCCAACATTCAAGATAATTATTTTATTAACTTTTTCATTTTGTTTAATCATTAAAATTATTATAGTTTTTTTTATTTTTAAAAAGAGAGTAACTTTATAGATTAAATAAGTTTTTGCTGGCCAATCTGGAAAACTGAACTACTCTTTTAAAAAAAAGGAAAACACACACCAGAATAAACAAGTAAAAATTGAAAGTCATTTTTATTACTATTTTTAGAAATATTTGATTATTGCAATTCCCTATATGCATAACTGATCACAATTTGATAAAGAGATAGATTTAAGTATATGTGTGTAGAAAAAGAGACTGAAAGGAAAAATTATCTCTGATTGGTTGTTGGGGTTAGCTATATTTTCTAAATAATCTAGAATGAATATGTATTACTTTTGTATTATTAATTAGGTTTGGGATTTAAAAAAAAAATCAGACCAGTATGTTAAAATTGAACCAGCATTGTCAGGAAGGATATAAAAATCAACTGCCAAACAGCATCCTTTTCAATTTACTTTATGCCCTTATAGGACCACTATGAACAGTTGTAAGTACCTGTGAGAGTGCTTGTTCTTAAGAGAATAAAAGAACTATAATATTTTAAAAATCCTGTTACTGTAAATTGGGTTAATGATAAATGTCTAAAGGGATGTATATCTAGCATATAAGACCTTCCAGAAAAATTTAAAGACATCAAGAATGAAGCTTATAGGCTGCAGAGGAGTACTTTGGAAAAAAAGTTTAGTAATGAAAAGCAATAAGAATTGTTTGAAAGACACCATGACTCGAAGACATGGGAAGTAAGTCAAACAGAAGATGAGGACAGACATAAATGAAGTGCCTTGCTTTAATATGACAAATGGAAGGCTTAAGATCTAGTATCTTCTTTTATCTCAAGCTGGAGGAAATAGCTCTGGATTTAAAGGTAGAAATGAGGGTGGACCAGATAGACAAACTAAAATTGAGTCATGCCTGTAATATACCTAAATACATATTAATTTTCACGAAGCTAAAGTGAAAAATGAAATATTTGTTACTTTCTGCTGTATTTGTATGTATGGGATATAGTGTGTGGTGGATGCTGGGCTGGGGCATTGAAATTATGAGGCTAATAACACTGAGAGGGGAAGATGGGAGAAAAAGAAGTATGGGAGGTCCTAAAGTCTTGGTAACTTTGGACATGTGCTAGGATTTGTGGGGAGCAGACATTTCAAAACCTTAAGTAAAGAACACAAAGTTAAGAGCATGGGGCTTCAAAAAGTTATTAGCACTGATAGCCAAGTATGGGGGTGGGTGCCTGTAGTCTCGGATACTTGAGAGGATTGCTTGATCCCAGGAGTTCAAAACTGCAGTGAACGATGATCTTACTACTGCACTACAGGCTGGGCGACAGAGACTCCATCTTAAAAAAAAAGGAAGAAGAAAAGGAAGTTCCTAGCATTAAGAGGCAGACAGATGCCCAAAGTAAGAGCTCATTAACAGTTTCCACCATGAGATAACTGTGGAACAGTCATTTTCACATTCAAAATAGCTTTCTTCCTGCACTTAAAGGGATGACTCATGGAAGCAGATTCTAAAGAAGAGGTGAAAAAGAAGTCATGTCCTGGATGTTTGGAGATAGAACTACAAGCCAACATCCTTGGCAAGCCTTGTGCCATCCTAATGCCACCACTGTCTGTTCCAGTGGGTAAACATGGGTGGGAGCAACATGAGTGAGAG